AGAGGGTTGGGTTAGATGGCCTTGAAGGTCCTTTCTTCAGCCTCAGATATGCAACCCTACATAGCACCTACAACACGGCAGCGTGCAGCCTACTTTCTGGTTGGCTCAGTGCCTGGCACACGGTAGGTGCCTCATCAATGCTTGCTGCCTTGATGTGACTTCATTCCCTCGATCTTCTGAGTCATTCCCTAGACTAAGGCAGGAGCTGTTATTATCCCCATTTGACAGAGAAGGATGCCCAGATGCTCTCAGATTAAGTAACTTGCCGAAAGTCCCAGGACTACCAAATCTGGGGCCCTTTCTATTATCCCACACGGCCTCGAGGCAAAGCATACAAAGGTGAGAGGACCAGTTAAGACATTGGAGGATGAACCTTGGAGAGGAGCCGGCCAATACAAGGGACAGAGGGCTCTCTACAATCCCAAACCACTCTCCTCGGGACCCAGAGGTAAAGAATGCAAGTCCTATTAGATGGGACAGCCTCAGAAAAGTGGCATTGCTCAGCTGGAGAGAAGCAGAACGGAGGCCTGAGCACAGGTCCTCTGCCTGAGAGGCCTCGTCACTATTGCCCCGCAGCTCAGTCTCCAGCCTCTCTCCCTCTCCAATCCCTCTGCTCCACAGACTGGCCAAAGTGATGTTCCTTTAAGCACACACCCAGGCCTCAACTTCATTTTCTGCTGACATTTTGGGCATCTCTGGGCATCGAGTGGTCCAAAGGGTGGAATTTGGGCTGGCTCTTGCCTTTCCCCTGTGGTCCAGCCTGGCACGAGGCCTCGCACTTCCTGTCAGTCCACAGTCTCGAGCTGGAGCTAAGAAGCAGCTTGGTATGTTTTCTATCTGCAAGCCTACGTGGTTTCGACATGGCGCTGCCCGCTCTCACTCCGTGCCCCCTCCTTGCAGCATCAGTTCCCATTTTCTCTCCCCTCTTTCTTTCCTTGTGGACTGTGCTAAGGCTGTACTCTCATGGTAAGAGAGGCTCTCCCCTTCTCTTCCCACCCCACAGGGTTCAGCACATACACAGGGGTCTCCCCAGCGGCTAATGGAATGCTGACCACCTGGGGGACTTCAGGCAAGACGCCTGACCCCCCTGTGCTCCACCTCGGTTGGGTTGTGGGCTAGGAGTCCTCTGAGGCCCCTCCCAGCTCAAAAGCTAGAATCAGTCAATAGAATTCAATAAGCATTTATTAAGCATTACCTGGGTGCAGGGTGCAGGGTGCAGGGTGCAGGGTGCAGGGCTGGGTACTCAGAATTGAAAACCAAAATGGTTCTGACCTCAAGGAATTAACATTCTACCAACATGTACAGAGATCAGTGCAAAATTATTGGGATTGTTGGGGGCAGGGGAGGATTGGGAGGCTCCAGATAAGACTGAGCCTTGGAAGGAGGTGAGGAAGAAGAATACCCAGACATGGGCGCAGCCCAGATAAAGGTGTGGAGGCTGGAGATCAGAACATCACAGATCACGGGTCAGAACAGCAAGTAAGGCTGCCACACCATGATCCAAGGAAGGCTCCATTTCCCCACCTATGAACGGGGATGGTCACGCTGGTTATGAGATCATCTCTGTCCAGGACTTTGTAACTATAAGTAAACAGCTTTCAAAGTCTTTTTACACAAGTGACTCATGTTTGTGCCTCACAACAAAACAGGGAATTGGGTATAACAAGTATTAGCATCCCCATTTTATAGATGAGGAAACTGAGGCTCGAAACGATGAACTTCCTTGTCCAAAGTAATGTGTTAATAAGTAACCAGAGAAGGCAGTTTTTCTGACCCTTAAGGATATGAACACAGGTTACTAGACTGCGGATATAGAAGGACCTCCAAGGCCAACCCCGGCAACCTATATACAGTTGGGGAAACTAAGGCCCAGAGATGAGAAGGGACTTGCCCAAGGTCACACGATACTAGTGGCATAGCCAGGATGTGGCCCCAGGTCCTCTGCCTCCCATGGCCAGTATGGGACAGTGGAGAGATTCCAAAACTGAAAGTCAGGAAGATTTGGATTCCAATCCTGCACGACTGACGCCTTCTCACTCCGAACCTAGGAAAATCATTTCTCCTCTCTGGGCCTCAGTTTCCCCTCCCAAAAAGGAGACAACCATCACTACAGTACCCACTTAACAAGCCTATTGGGAAGATGATATGAGAAGCACGCTGTTTGGCCAGTTTTAAGCCTCACAGAATTAACGGGGCAGCATTCACCTGGGGCTCAGAAGTCCGCCAAGCGCTTCCTTTACAGCCCCGTCTCCTCTCCTCTCCTCTCCCCCTCTCCCCAGTTTTTAGCTCCCTTTTATATCTGGTCTTCCCACCTTAGGACGTAAACTGGGGAGATCACTAGTACAGCCCCTGGCACACAGTAAGCCCCTAATAAATGCTTGTTATCTGCCTGCCTTGTATAATTGTCCCCATTTTAGAGATTGCAAACTGAGATCAGAAAGGAGGTGATGGAAGCGGGAGAAAGCGTGCTGACTCTGGAGTCAGAGGACCCTGCTTCAAATCTCTGGTTTCATGCTCCTACCGATGTGATGGAGGCCCCTGGGTGGTGCACGGGCAGACTGCCCGGCCTGGAGTCTGGAAGACTCCTCTTCCTGAGTTCCAAACTGGCCTCAGATACTCATCAGCTGTGTGACCCTGGGCCAGTCACTTCACCCTGTTTGCCTCAGTTTCCTCATCTGTCAAATGAGCTACAGAAGGAAACGGCAAACCCCTCCAGTACCTTTGCCGAGAAAACCCAAGTGAGAGTCAGACACGGGCAGAACAACACCTGTGTGACAGTTGTTGTCACTGCCAGATGACTGGCACACAGTAGGTGCTTAGTAAATGCTTCCTGAATGACTGGCACAAGGAAATAGGCAAAACATCAAAAAGGTGAAAAAAAAAAAAACTGTCCAATGCATCCCCAGGAGACTCCAGGGCCAAGCCTGGTGAGTCTTTGCTCCCTCCACTCCTAAAATGAGAATCAGCCCTGGTGGGAGGCGAGGCATGCCTGGTCTCAAAAGAGAAATTCCCACCGGAAGAATCTGCCCCCAAGTCTTGGGGTCAGGGCACAGAACCTCATGAAAAGCTGAGGACAAGCGGCAGATGAGCCCTCTTTATTTCGCAGATATAGAGATAAACTTCCTGCAAACTCAGAATCGAGTTCAGAAGAGCACTCTTACAAATGCCCCCAAAAAACATTAGGGGAGACCCAAGTGCTGGTCCTAAAAAGCCCTGGGCAAAGAGTGAGGGCAGGGAGGCCTCCAGAGCGTTGCTTGCTCTCTCCCTAGGGGACCCCTCCCCACCAGCAGCAAGAGGAGACCCGAACTTGGGTGAGAAGGGGTGGGTACTGGACCTGGGCTAGGAAGCTGTCACATACCAATGCAGGTCAACGACAGAGCTCTCAGATGAAGGGACTTGCCCAAGGTCACACAGGAGAAGAAAGGTAACTCGGCTGGAATCAGAAGCCTGCTCTTTCTGACTCCAAGATCCAAAGTCCTGGTTTTGCCCTCCCTCCCCAGGTTGCCTAGGGCCTCCAAGCCAAGCCTTTGGGAGGGAGGCACCCAAAGATTCCCGGACAAGGCCAGGGAGCCCCACTGTTTCCCCACACCCTGCAGCGGCAGGCCACACCTTTAGTTCCCCAAAAGCTAGGTCTCCACGGGTAAAACAAAGATCCAAGAGTTACCTGAACCTTAGGGACCAGGCTTCCGCAGACCACCCCCTCCAGCTTCTAGCTAGCTCCGCACGGGTAGACCCTGCCACGCTTAGGGCAAGCCAGTGGGCCTCTGACCTGCACCTTCCCTCCAAGCCCGGCCCAGCCAGGTGAGAAGGGCTTAGAGGACTTCTCTGGGTTCCCCCGCAGAACCAAGGAGGGTGGCAGGGCAGGATGCCTCTAGACCGAGGGGCCCAGGGAGGGCTTCCAGTACAAGCCGGGCTCCCCATGTCTACGGGGGCGGGGCAGCAGAGACTGGGACAGCGAGGCTTATGAGGAGGGCACCTAACCTTCCCCCCCCCCCACCGGCGACCAAGGGCCACGAGGAACAGCAGGAGGCCAGTGCTGGGCTGGGCACCAGTGTGGGCTCCTTCCACCTGCGGGTCCCTCCTTCCCCAGCAAAAAAAAGAGGGCGACTGTGTCCGGGGGCACCCGGGCTGGGCACCTGGCGGCCTGTGGGTGGTGCTGAGCTCTCCACAGGTGGCCAGGGGCACTTGGCAGCCGGCTCTGCCCCAGCAGACTGACTGGGTGCCCTGCACCTTTATTGCCACTCTTCCCGCACTCCGCGGGGCGCGCACCTGGGCCACACTCCGTGGCACCCAGGGCCCCCCTCATAGTGGGGCAGCACCCCAAGCAAGAGGAGAGCATGGGGTAGGCGCGTAGGCTGGGGGACCCCGGCTTCCCTCCCGGCCCGGCCTAACGCAGGGAGAGGGGTCCCACGGCAGCCTCCTCGGGACAGGGTGGGAGGAGGCTGCGACCTCCAGACAAAGGGCCCGGATTGCCCCACTCGGGCACGGGCCGAGGGATTGGGCTGGGGGGGAGGCTGGAAGCTTGTGTCGGCGCAGAGGGTGTGCGAGGGGGGGCCACCCTGAGGCTGCTTTACTCTGAACTCCCCCTTCCCCACCCCACCCCACCCCCCAAGGGCTCCAGGCCGCCGGCGCGGGGCGTCCCAGGCCCCACAAGTCAACTTCTGGGCTCGAGCTCGGCCCGGCCCGGCTCCTGGCAGAAAGTTGGCTTCTCGGCGCTGCCACCCGCCACCGGCTCCCTCTCCCGGCAGGCAGGCGGGCAGCAGGCCGGCGGTCCAGCCGCCGAGCAGGTCCCAGCGAAGTTCTATTGTCTCCGCGCCTCTGCAGCACCCCCAAAAAGTGAACGTGTGCCCGCGGGGGCCCGGAGCGCCCTCGTCCGTCGCCGTCCCCTAGCCCCGGCCGCGACCGGTCCCGGGAGATCGCGAAGCCCCGCGCTCTGTCCCGGCGGCCCAGGCCCGGCTAAGTCGGTCCCCGCGAGACAAAGCTCCGGGGGCCCCACTCACCTCCGGCTGGAGCCAAGTGGCTGCAGAGGGCCAGCAGCGTCAGCAGAGCCTCCATAGTCCGGCCCCGGCCCGGCCGCCTCACTCGGGCTCCATGGCGCGGCCCGCAGGGACCCAGGCGTCCGCGCGTCCCCCCGGGCGGGCCGGCCGGTTCCTGCTCGGGCGCCCACTCCCGCTCTGGCTCCTGTGACCGCTGCGGCGCCGACTCGTGCGCCCCGCTGCCGGATTCCCGGTGCAGCTCGACTGCCCCAGCGTGCGCTCCTGGCGCCCCGCGGCCCGCGCCCCCTGCTAGCTCCCCTCGCCCCCTCCCGGCGGGCCTCCCCCTAGCCTCCACCAACCCAGTGGGAGGACGTTCAGGAGGAGGAGGGGGGGGCGGGGGCCCGGGCGGCTCCCCGCCCCCAGCCGCAGAGCCCGCCCCGCCTCCCCGCCTGCCAGCCCCCAGCTAGCGCGCTCTGTCGTGCCCGCCAGCTGCCACCTGCCGGGCCTGTCACCCCGAGTGCGGCTGTGCTGCCGAGTGGACTTCTCCGCTGACTTCCCGTCCCGCAGACCCAACTGGCTGTTGGACATCTTCTCAGGCACCCGTCCACATCTCAAACTCTCCCCCAAACCCAGCCGTCTTCTTAACTCCCCTGTTACCGTGGAGGGCACCACCCCGGCTCCAAACCTAGGCACCAGCTCCTCTCCCTCCCCCTCCTCCATGGGCAAGCAGCTGCCAAAGCCTGGTGTTACCTGAGGATGCCCCGCTCTGGCTCCTCGGACGGGGTGCAGACCCTCGGCACCTCTCGCTTGGACTATTTCTATGGCATTCTGGCGGGCCTTCCTGCAACAAGTCTGCCCACTTCAGCCCATCCTCCACTCTGCTGTCAAGATGACCTTCCTCAGGGTCTGACCATGTCACCCCCTATTCAGAAAACTCCAGCCACTTCCTAGCACCTCCACACTCCTCCATCAGATCCGGTCATTCAGTCCCTCCCGCGCACACACAGCCTTCCGGGCGGCTCACACCTTCCATCCCACCACCACACACTCTTCCTTCCCCCCTCCTGGGTGCTCCTGGACCAGACTGGAGGCATTTTCTGTTTTTCTTTTTGTTTTTCTCTCCTCCAGGCTTCCCTGGCTTCCTTCAAGACTCAGTTCTGATCTGCAAGACGTCTTCCCAATCCCTCTTAATAACAGTCCTTTTCCTCTGCTGATTTTCTCCAATTAATCCTGTAGGCAGCTTATTTGTACAGAGTTGTTTGTATGTGGTCTCTCCCATCACACCTGGAGGAGCAAAGACTTTTACCTTTCTTTGTACCCCTAGTGCTTAGCACAATGCCCGGCACATCGGAGGAGCTTAATCACTTTTGCCTGCCTGACTGACTGACCAGTTGCTGTCCCAGTCCCTGGGCCTGGGCTGGCCAGGCACTACAGAACTCCCAAGGGCCTTCCCAGAAGCTGCCCCAGCCTTCTGTCCTGTGGGATCTCCAGTGAGACTCAGACTCTGCCCCATGAACTTCTGAACACTTCATAGTCAGCTCACCAGCAGCTGCTCCGAAGTCTCCAGGCCCCAAAGATCCACAAGGACACCTCAGGAGTATTAACACCACATGGGCTCCCCCGCTCCCACACCCACAGGACATACATACTCTGGTTAATCAGGGACCCATCAGGCAGTCAGTCAACCAACACTTATTATTTACCAAGTGCCAAGCACTGGAATACAAAAACGAAACAAAACAACAGAAGACAGTCCCTGCCCTCCAGGAGCCTGAGCGGTGGGTGGAAGGCTGAGGGTGGCACTGCCCACTCTGGTTTGCAGCTCAGTCTACAGGGACTGAGACTACTGTAAACACTTGGCGTTCCTGGAGCACCTCGATGGGCTGCTCTTCAAGCCTCCTTTTATCGGGCAAGAAACTGTGGCTCAGAAAGGGCGGAGGACTTGCCCAGGGCCACCCACGGAGCTTGGATTTGAACTCAAGTCCTCTTTCTCCCAGTGCAGGGCTCGTACTGAGGCTCCAGGGCTCCCCTGAACCTGTGTCACCCTGTGCAACCTGAACCCTCCCCCTCCACCCCTCCTCCCCCTTCCTCTGCCTTCCAGTCAAACTGGCTTTCTCAGTGCTCCTCACACGGGACACATTCTGGAGTGCCTCAGCACCAGCAGGGTGCTGCCCAAATGCTCTCCCCACCTCACCTCCCACCTTGGAATCCCTAGTTCCCTTGAATGCCTGGATGAAGTACCAAATCACCCCCTACAGGAAGCCTTTCTTGATCTCCTCAGCTACTAATGCCTCAACTTGAGAAAACCCCCCATCTTCTATTACATCCATTTCATACATGTTCACATGCACATATAGAAAATGTAAGCTCATAATGTATGCTCATTGAGCTCATATCTCTCTTTGTATCTCAAGTACCTGGTGCCCCAGTGCCTGGCACAGAGTAGGCATTTCATAAGAGCTGATTGATTGATTGACGTAAAAGGATAAATGAAAATGCTTAAAGAGAAACCTGCACCCCCAAAAGAGAATGCTCTTTGAAACTCAGAATCCCCAAACTGGAAGAAGCCTGAGAGGTTTCCTAGTCCAACAGGGATGAGGAACCAGAAGGAGGCGATGAGGATGATTCAGAAGTTTCAACTCTGAGTACCTGTAAAGATGGGAATACCTTTGGCAGAAATAGGGAACTGAGGAAGAGGAGTGGGCATCTGAAGGAAAGACAATGAGTTCTGCTTAGGTTGTATTGAGTTTGAGATGCCTCCAGAATGTCCAATTAGAAACGCCTGAGAGGCAGTTGATATCACTGGAATGGAGCTCAGTACAGACAAGGGCTAGATATATGACTCTAGGAACCATCTGTATTGAGAGGATGACTGAACCCAAGGGATCTGTGATGAAGTCCCGGAGAGAGAGTAGAGAGAAGAGAATGCAGGATAGAGTTCTGGGGCACTGCCACACTGCTCAGCTTCTTTTCCCAGGATTTTTGTTTTGAGCCAAATTGCCCACGGCTTACAACACTAGGCAACGTGGTATAAAGATTGATAGGAGGGAAGGGCAGGGCTTTAATATGATTCATCTGTCCCAAAGTGAGGCCATACAGCCCCTTCAGTGGCCTATCAGCAATGAACTCCCCCTGACCCACCCTCCCTTCCTTCCTTCCTTCCTTCTTTCCTTTCTTCCTTCCTCCCTTCTTTCTTTCCTTCCTTCCTTCCTCCCTTCTTTCTTTCATTCTGCATCTACCCGGTTCAGGAAGGGGTCTGTGTCTATGGGGTCCTTGGGGAGATACTGACTTCACAGGTTGAGGAGGGAGAGGGGGGATAAATTTGAAAACTTCTAGCTAGGAGCAGACTTGTGATCTCATTGGTAAAGAGCATTCTCTAGAGCAGATAAGGACACTCCCTCTACCTGCACAGCTCTACATCTTTTCTGTAACTTGTAGTCTTAGAGAATGAGCTGCCCAGAGGACTAAGAGGTTTAACATCTCACCGCCCAAATGGGTCAGAAATAGGACTTGAACCTGTCTTCTCCCCCCCAAAAAAAGCCATAAAATTTTAAAATAAAAATAATAGTTGGTATTTATTAAAAACACTTTAAAGATTAAAAAGTGACTTACGGCATTTTCTCATTGCCCAAACCTATGAGAGAAGGGCTTCAGATCTCATCATCTCCTTTTTACAGATGAGGAAACTGAGCTGCCCTGACCCGAAGCCACACCCACAGGATCGCCCAGTTAGCGAGCCTGGGGCACTATCTGAATGTAGCTCTTTCTGATTCCCAATCCGAAGCCTGGTCTTAAGCAGATGAAGCTTTGAAATGTAAACAGTATGTTATGGGGAGGGGATGGGGGGGGGGATGAGCGAGGTGGCTCCTTTCAGGCTGAACACTTGAAAATGTCATGACTTTTTCTTTTCTTTTCTTTTCTTTTTCTTTTTCTTTTTTTTTTAGGCAGCTTAGCACTAACAATGGGTCGCCGGGAGGAAAAGTCCATTTGACTGGGTGAGGTAAGAGGGTCTTAATTCTTTCCTTGTCCCCTGCTGGACTGCTGTAGACAAAACAACTGTCCTCTGGGCTCTCCGGGGAAGCAGTCCTGTTGGGGCACCTCCCGTCCTCATCTGATTGTTGGGAATTCCTGGAATTATACAGGGCCACCGGATTAGGAACCGGAGGAAAGCAGACCGTCCTAGGAACAGAGCAGGCTTTGTCTAACTCAGCAAATGGTTTAGCCCTTGATCCCCAGTCTCTAAACAGCAGCAGACTGCCCCAGGATCCTGTCACCCAAGGTCAGGTCCAGCTCTCTATCTTGATCCAGTGCCTTGGGGTAGAGGACCCTCCTCTCAGAGTAAAGAGCAGTGATTGGTGGAAACCACCTTCACGAGGTTCCCATTGCTGTCCAGGCATTGGTCGTGGAAAGTGAACCCTGGCTATGGAGTCGGAATCAGGTCCTGACTCTACTTCCCGAAAGGTTCCCTTCTCTGGGCCTCAGTTTTCTCTTTTGTGAAATGAAGGGAATGACTAAATGACTTCAATAATTCTTTCGAGTGCTAGTTCTACGATACCAAGAGTGCCAAAGTTATAGTCTGAGGACCTGGGTTCGAATCATCCCCTCCGCCACTACCTATGAAGTTCCTGTCCTTCTCCGGCCTCAGTGGCCTCCTCAGTGAAAACGAAGGAGTTGAAGGAGCTCCAAGGCTCCTCCCAGACCTAGCTGTACCACCCTGCAATGCAGAGTCCGGCCCACGTGCCTGACAAGTTTGAGAAGCAGAGTCCGAAGATGAGCCCTTCCAGTCAAGGTGATTTCGAAGCTGAGCCCTGACCTCGGCCCTGTGAGAGGCCTCCACAGACTCACTCCTCGGAGGATGTCCTCTCTCCCGAGGCCAGCCTGTCGCAGAACAACAGGCCAAAAGCAGCCCCAGGATCTCGGCCCTTCGTCCTACGACAGACCAGTGTTAGCTTTCGGAGCTCGCGGCTCTGGACTGGTCAGAGTGCTCCTGAGAAGATGCCCTTCTGGCCCTGAAGGACACAGCTCTGCCTCAAACCAAGGCTGTCTCCAGAAGGACCGCCCTAGAGGTAGAGAGCTGGACGTGGAAGGAGCTGTACCCGGTTTAGCCCCTCATTCTGTAAATGACGAAATTCAGATCCAGAAGCCCAAGGCTGCGCAAGCGGTGCCATGGCCCACGTCAGAGGCAAGTCTAGAAGCACTTATTAAGCACTTGCTACGTATATAAACACAAACAAAAAGAAAGGCATTCCTGCCTTCACAGAGCTTCCATTCTAATGGGGG